AACCCTCGAGGGTTCGAACCCCACTAGTTTTCATTTGGCTTTTGCTTTTTTGTTTCTGATTAGATTCAAGAAGCCATTAGTTGAGACTTCGAAGACGGCCGTAACCCTAAAACATAGGTGGTTACGGTTGCTTTCATCATGATCACTTTTTAAATAGTAGGCAAATAAAAACTATAAGAATCTAGACAGAAATTAGAAAAAAAAATGGAACTTTATCTCTCTCTTTGTTTTCTCACTCAATCAAAATCATTATCATCATTGTTAAAAGTGCGTAAACAGTTGAAAGACAAGTTCTTTGTGTTTTTTTGTCTCAATCTATCACATGTAGATCTCACAATCTTCAAAATAGATCTTCAAAATCATTATTTATTTTGCGAATTGAACTTTATCATTTAAAATTCTCTCTCTTTTTTTTTCAAAAGAGATTTTTTTCGATACCAGAACTTTTCCGTTTTGCAAAGAGTACAAAAAGCTTTGATATAATGTGATCGTCTGCTACTCTATCGTTTGCTACTCTATCGTCTGCTACTCTATCGTCTGCTACTCTATCGTTTGCTACTCTATCGTTTGCTACTCTATCGTTTGCTACTCTATCGTCTGCCACTCTATCGTCTGCGTCTAGTTCGGTTTTCTTTTTAACTTTACAGGATGAAAAGAAGAAAGGCAACTTTTGACACCATGAAAAGATCACCGCTTGTATCAACATTGACAAAAAGCTAGAACAAAACGAATTTCAAATTCTAAAATGATTCCACATCGAGTTTTCAGTGTCTAACAAATCCCCACAAACAACTTTTCGCATGCTACACGATCAAGAGCAAATAGGGATTTTATTATTTTAATTTTATTCGAATTTGAAATCCGTTTTGTTCTAGCATTTTTTCAATCTTGATATAAGACCTTCTTTTGATGTCGTCAAAACCCTGTATGCGCATTAAAAGTATTGTAAAGTATTGTAAAGTATTGTACGGTATTGTATTGTATTGTATTGTATTGTATTGTATTGTATTGTATTGTATTGTATTGTATTGTATTGTATTGTATTGTATTGTATTGTATTGTATTGTATTGTATTGTATTGTATAGTATTGTATTGTATAGTATTGTATTGTATTGTATTGTATAGTATTGTATTGTATTGTATTGTATAGTATTGTATTGTATTGTATTGTATTGTATTGTATAGTATTGTATTGTATTGTATTGTATTGTATTGTATAGTATTGTATTGTATTGTATTGTATTGTATTGTATAGTATTGTATTGTATTGTATTGTATTGTATAGTATTGTATAGTATTGTATTGTATTGTATTGTATTGTATAGTATTGTATTGTATTGTATAGTATTGTATTGTATTGTATTGTATTGTATTGTATAGTATTTTATAGTATTTTATAGTATTTTATAGTATTTTAAAGGTCCATTTTTTGGTCTAACTCTCAATAGGTGTACAGCGCGATGTTTGACCACTTCAACGGATACTTTTTCAGGATTTTGCTACACGATAGTAGAACTTTAAAAGCTCTATCTTTTCTTTTAAAAAGCCTCTGAAAAAGTAGACGTTGAAGTAATCAAATCTCGTTTTCTTTCTATTGTACATCAATTGACAAACAGACCGAAAATGAAGAGCCCTATCGTAAGGTTATTGGACGGTTATTGGATTTGATACGCGCCCCACCCCTTTTACCATTGTCAATCTAACTTTAAGTTCAAATTTCTTGGTGTTGGGTTGTCGAATTTAGATATTCTTGATATCATTGGATGCGCCAAGTCTTTCTCTGTCGATTGGTACCAAAACCTATTGTAATTGAACGGCCCAACACCAAGAGATTTGAGCTCGAAGTTAGATTGACAATTGCAAGAAAGGCGGGGCGTGTATTAAATGTCTCAAAATCCTTGACTTATTACTTTCTAAGCAACTAGTTATTATAAAAATCTACTAGTTTTCATTCGATAATCCTAATTTCTTATCAATTGATTATATTAAAATTCGGCTGATCAAAGTCAAACAAATCAAAGTTCTAGACTATCTGGGATTTCTGTTTTTCATTGATTTGATTGACGAATGAACAACAAATGAACTTAGAGATTTCAGATTTTAACCCGTTTCACCCTTTTATCAACAATGAGCATTGACAAGCAAAGGTAAACAAATATCTATGCAAATTTCATATATATCAAAATTTTAGACTAGATTTGGACACTCGAAAAACCCCATGGATGGCGATTTACATTGCTGTCGGATTCTTGATGATCACTGGTAACTTTATATTGTGATATACTCAGTAGTTGACATAGATTTACAAAAATTTTGATTTTTAAGTAATCAGATCAACTGTGTTTTTTTTCTAGTAATTAAGTTAGACATTAACAAAAAGTTTTATTTTAGAGCTCTACAAGCTTTTAGTTTTTAGCTAATAGTTTTTAGTTAATAGTTCTTAGTTAATAGTTTTTAGCTAGTAGTTTTTAGTTAATAGTTTTTAGCTAATATACAATAAGAATAGAAAGCTATCAATCAAAAAGTTACTTGATTAAAGCAAAAAAAAATACTTTCAACTTAGCCTTGAGAGTTTCTGTTCATTTAAACGGGATGAATTGCTGTCAATATCAATTTTACAAGAAATGTAATTTAGTTTTTAGCCAACTAGTTTGTTTTGTCGCTCTGTATCCACTATTCTATTGGGTTGGTGAATTGAAAACTGCCGGCTATTGTCATATGTGACAGTTTGAGCACTTTCTTCAAAAGAAACCCCTATTGGTGTCAATGGAAAAGTTGTAGAGAATCAAAAATGAAGATTATATCCAAGTTTTCAGAACGATTCAAAAACTGGTTTTCGAGAAATGTCAAATTTACGAATTTTCACAAAACTTGCATTTTAAGCGAAACTACTAAGTGTATCTTTTTGGAAATTTGGCTATAAGCCTCATTTTTGATTCTCTGCAGCTTTTCTTTTGACACCAAAATGGGTTTCTTTTGAAGAAAGTGCTCAAACTGGTCCTCATCTCCAGTCCTCCATTTTTGAGTCTCACACTTGTCTCACACACATTTGGGAAAGGTGAATGAACCCCTGAAGAAGAATAGGTCCTACAAGTCAAAAATCGTTCTCATCCACGACAACGCGCGCCCTCATGTTGCAAAACTGACTCGCTCTAAAATAAATAGCCTTGTTTGGGCACTTTTGGCGCATTCCCCATACAGTCCGGACCTCGCCCCTTTTGATTACTATTTATTCCGGATCATGAGTAATGAGCTTGCGGGAGAACACTTCGATTCGGAAGAAGTAGTCAGAAATTGGCTTTGAAAGTTTTTCGATTCAAAACCAAAACCCTACCACGAAAGAGGAATCCGCAAATTGCCTGTAAAATGGTCAATAAAGTCATCAATAATAATGGAAATTATTTCGAATGAATTGATGATTTTATGCTGAATAAATCTTAGTTCAAAGTCCGGCAGTTTTCAATTCACTAATCCAATATATTCTTTTTATCTATTTATAAGAATAATGAATGATCTGAATAAATTTTTCTTAATCTCAAGGTGCTCAAATGTCTGTTTACTACATGTCAACAATGCCTTATTTAATGATGGCCTACAAAAAGGCTACTGTCGAGACATTGGGCTATGTAATATCTGCTGGGAGTTTTGGAGTAATGATTGTAAGTCGAAAATCAAATTTCATAACTTAATAAGATTGATTTTTTTTTTAATCATATATTCAATTTTGATTTTTTTTTCTTTTAGGGAAGCCCTCTTTTCGGGTTTTGGCAACAAAAAACCAACTCGACAAGGCAACCAGTGATGTGTGGATTCATTCTAGCTGCAATTGGTAACTAATTTTAAGAAAAATTACCCCTAAACTCTTTTAAGGAAATTTCCTCTATGCTTTTCTTTCCTATTATGGAGAAACGGTGCTGATCATGGTGTTGTTAAGTCGATTTCTTGCTGGATTTGCCACAGGTAGGAATGCTAAAAATATAGTTGAAGATATCTAACACTTCTCGTAATACTTTTGTTGAAAATTTTGTCATTTTAAGGAACAATTGGCGTCCTTCGTAGCTTCATCGCTCTTTCGAGTACGCCGAGTGATCGGGGAAAAGCAACGGCGATCTCAAATGCTGGCTTTACTCTCGGATTAAGCATTGGACCAGTGATACAGGTGCTTTGACTAGTTCTCTAAATTGGTTATCAGCTTCTAGATCGCTTTTCTCCCGTTCGGCTCCGAGGAATGGAATTTCTCGTTTTTTCCCATAAACATGTACACAACTTGTGCCTATTTCATGGCTCTTCTCTGCCTGTTTTGCCTTTTTCTTCTGATCACATTTTTTAAGGAAAACTATGTGGGAATATATTCGGATGATGAGAAGAAATGTGGGTTTAATGAAAATCAAAAACAGAAAACATAAATTAAATAGAGTCGACTCTCTCTATAACGGAATGGAAGCGACCAAAAAATGTTTCCTTTGTATAGAGTGCCGTTTCATATAGCTTAGCATCGGCCGGGGCACCAAAATTCTGTTCCGTTATATAGAGTTTTCCGCTATTAAAGAGTTTCTTTATAGAGAGAGTCGACTGTATGTGATAAATAATATAATATAATAAATTAAATATGGTTGTGAAGAGCCGGGTATCTTTTCTTTCTTCCTTTCTCGTTCCCCTTGTATTTCCTCTTTCTTCTCTGCCGAACAGAGACCTGATATATTCGGATGATGAGATACCCGGCTCTTCACAACATCTCAACAAAAATAGTGGTTAAAGCATCTGCCCGAAAAGCAGGCAGCAGGGTTGAGGTTAGGGGTTCGATTCCATCTACCGAAATTGTTCTTTTCCATTCCTTGCCATTGCAGGGTTGGGTTTTTTCCTTTTTCTGATTCCAAAATCATTTCGAAAACTGATAGCTGACATAAATAAAACTCTTCCAGCTGACCCATTTCTTGTGATTCCGAAATTCGACCCAAAACCCGTGTTCGTCTGTTTCTATTTGTGGTTCTCACTTACAATGGTCTCAACAACGATCGAAGGGTTTCTTTCAAAAATGAAATTGTTTTCTGAATGAATTTTGTGCAATGCAAACGCATCCTTTCTGGCGTATTCGGGTATTTTCTCGACAATTGTCAATATTGCAAGAAAAGTGTCAAAATGCGTGCACCAGAAAGGTGTTTGCATTTGCGAGTACAAAGTAAATTGATGCATCAAGCTATGCAGCAAATGCAGCAAATTCCATTTCAGTTTGAGTGTTCCGATCACGGTGGCAATGTACGCATGGAATAATTCGAATTCGATTTTGTACAATGGAATCTTTATGGCTGCGTGAGTTGACACTTGTTGACAACTTGTTGACAACTGCTTGTCACTTGTCACTTGTTGATAACTGCTTGTCACTTGTCACTTGTTGACAACTGCTTGTCACTTGTCACTTGTTGACAACTGCTTGTCACTTGTCACTTGTTGACAACTGCTTGTCACTTGTCACTTGTTGACAACTGCTTGTCACTTGTCACTTGTTGACAACTGCACCAGAGCATATCATTTTCATGATTTCAGAAATTGTTTCACATCGATGTTGGTCAGTGTTTTGTTAGTGAAAACGTCACTATCAAATGTGTAAGTGGAAACAAGACTTTAGCTGTGACTAAAAAAACTTTTCACTTTACAGGAACAGCCGAAAATTGATCTTAACAGGTCAACTCGTTTTCTGTTTGTTCTTCATTTTCACATATCCTTGGAAATTTTATGGGGAAAATTTGCCGAGACCGTTGCTCGGTGAGGGAAATCTTATGCAAAAGTTTGATCAAGATTTTCCCAGCGAATGGCACCGAGAATCTCGAGCTTTTTGGCGGCTGTTCGAGGGTTTATGAATGGTGTGAAGCGACTGCACCGATTCCGAAAGGGATTTACATTGCCACCTTCATTTTGGGACTTGGGGTAAGTGAAACCTTCGAATATCTTACAAGCAGCTAGTTAGATAACTCAGCTGAATGACTTTGAGACTCAGCTGAATGACTTTGAGACTCAGCTGAATGACACAAAATGAATCCTTTCAGCTTTGATTGGTTAAATGTATTCAGATAGCTTTTCCGCTTGTTGCCGCTCCAATGAGTGCTTTATTTTCCGAAATTCTAGGACCACGAAAACAGGTTTTGGTCTTTCAATTTCTTTTCGAGTAATCTACAGTACTGGACAATGAAATATCATATTTGAAAAAAGACCGTCACTTTCGCGCGTCTGTAACTCCCTTGTCTTTGAGTTTAAACTATTAGTGTTATACATTTTCTGAAAGCTCTTTTCAAGGGCTACACAATGGTAATATTAATATTTAAAAATACGGTAAAGACAAGGGGAGTTACAGAAGCGCGAAAGTGACGATCTTTTTTCAAATATGATATTTCATTGTCCAGTAGTGTAGCTTTTAGTTTTTGATCTAAGCTGAACTTTTTCTGAACTTTCTAGCCTCAACAAAAAAGATTTAAAGAACTAAAATGAAAAAGAGATGGATTAGAAATAAATTACGATTCTTACTCCATCAAATATCTTTTTAGGGTACAATGCAAGGGTTATTAGCCTTCACTGGATCAATTGCGCAATTCATGTGCCCAATTATTATCACGTGAGTAAATTTGGCATCTAAAACATGGCAGTAACTAACAAATAAGGAAAGAATGTGTTTCAGAGCTTTATTCAAGTCATCCGGCTACCATATCATCATGTTGTATCATTTTATTCTTTGTGCAATCGGTGTTCTGTTAGTAGTCGTTTTCTACAAACATCTCATTCCATTGAATGTAAATGGAAAAACTGGAAGAACGGCTAGATATAAAAATGGGCTTTTTACGAGATTTTAAAAGAAAAATGAACATTTATTTTTCAAAAGAATAAATCTCGAGAATCGCCTTTTTGAATTTTTTCTCATAGAAATCAACGCCGTAATCGTCTTGAAGAGAATTCACAACTCTTTAAGGAAAATGTTTTTTACAGTTTGAAGAGTTTAAATTTACATACGTTTGAATCCGTTGCTTCTTTCGTTGCTTCCGTTGCTTCTTCTTCTTCTTCTTTCGTTCCTTCCGTTGCTTCTTCTTCTTCTTCTTCTTCCGTTACTTCCGTTGCTTCTTCTTCTTTCGTTACTTCCGTTGCTTCTTCTTCTTCTTCTTTCGTTACTTCCGTTGCTTCTTCTTCTTCTTCTTCTTCTTCTTCTTCTTTCGTTCCTTCCGTTGCTTCTTCTTCTTCTTTCAAACATCTCATTCCATTGAATGTAAATGGAAAAACTGGAAGAACGGCTAGATATAAAAATGGACTTTTTACGAGATTTTAAATAGAAAAATTGAACATTTAAGGAATAAGGAAAGAATGTCTTTCAGAGTTTTATTCAAGTCATCCGGCTACCATATCACCATGTTGTATCATTTTATTCTTTGTGCAATCGGTGTTCTGTTAGTAATCGTTTATTTTTCTAAAGAATAAATCTCGAGAATCGCGTTTTTGAATTTTTTCTCATAGAAATCAAAGCCGTAATCGTCTTGAAGCGAATTCACAAATCTTTAAGAAAAATGTTTTTTTTAAAGAGTTTAAATCTACATACGTTTGAATCCGTTGCTTCTTTCGGGCATTCACAAATTGATGAACACAAACATTTCCCTTCACTTCATAGGATCCATCGAGAAATGAGTGACAGAAGAATTTCTAGAGATATCGAAAATCGAAAAGATATTAAAAGAGCTTTTTCTGTCTGTGCTCACTCCGCATCGAGTGTGGTTTTTTCAAATAACTTCTAGCTAGCTTACTTTCGAATTTTATTTATTTGTGCGTTATGTTTTTAAATTTTTCAAGAATCAGAAGTCATGGGCGGGAGTCGAACCCGGGTCATGTGGGCTAGAGACAAGAGCCCTCGCACTGCGCCATTCACTAGAGTTGCTCATCATTGTCTCTCAAACGAACCAAAAAGAGAGATCGCGGGTTCGACTCCTCTCATCGCCAATTCTTTTACTTTTTCCTTCTTTTTTGCTTGTATCAGTAATGTTTTTATTGTAAAATCAAATAAAGGAGTGTTTTCTATTAATATATTTAAAATTTAAGTCAAATCCCTGATGAAATAAGCGGTAAAACACTTTTTATTAGGTTGTCCCATAAAAACCCAGAGATTTTGAATTTCATTTATTTTCAGCACATAGAAGCAACGAAGAATTAGAATCAAATTATATATTTTCCAGATGAATTTATAACTTTTCTCCAACGTTTGGGTAGCTTGCCAATCCCTCGTTCGTAAAACCCAAGCGGGCGCGAGCGCTAATAGTCGTTCAATTCGTCCTCGAGCTCGCTCTCATCTTTGAACTTTTTAACACGTAAGAAATCCTTTAGCGACAAGAACAATTGATAGTCAGAAGGGGCAACGTCCGGAGAATACGGTGCATGAGGAAGGATATTCCAGTGTAGGTTGTCCTTCACAAAATCGATCGATCTTTCTGATTTATGGGAGCTTGCGCCATCCTGAAGAACGAAAACGGGGCCGTTCCATTTGTTTTCATAGAGTAACCTTCCGACTTTTTGTTCCACTTTTTTTCATATGATATAGATAAACATCGGTGTTGAAATTTTGCCTCGGTTTAAGAAGTTCCCAGAGAAGGACGCTTGTTGAACACCAGTCGACACACAAGATTCGCTTCTTTTCGTGGATCTTCCATTTTGGCAGCATTTTACATGCTTGCCCTTTTTCAATCACTGCCGTTGTAACACTCGACCATCGTAGAAAACCCACGTTTGAGCGTGAGTGATGATGTTCGAAAGACGAAGCCGACCATGCCGGTATTCGCACCACAAATGGTTGCATGTCCGCTTTCTTTTGACTTGGATTGCTTCCGATCTTTCGTATGGAATTTAGCGTTGTTTTCTACGATTTCTTTCCACTTTTCGCAGTCATCGCTACACAGTCATCCATCCACAGTAACTTCCAACCAATTCTCCGGTTGATCCATCGGGGTTTCGCAGGAATCGGTGCCTCAGAATCGATCGATCCACTTTCCAGGGGTCAGCCGCTTCTCCTCTTCCGTTTGATCCTTGTGATGCCCGTCTTGAATCTGTGAAACGATTCCTATGCAGTACTCGTTCCAACGATTTTGTTGCCATAAAATTGATTGATTTCTTGTGCTGCTTTGGCCGCTGAAATCCCTCTTCAAAATCGTTGGAGCAGTTGGGCGTGAATTTCTTCTCGAGTTGGCTTCATTCGATCGACTGCAACTCTCTTCTCGTGTCGACCCCTAAAAAATGAATGCTAGTGCAAGAAAGAAGAAAGTTTTAGCATGAAAAAGAAAAAAAAGATGAATACAAAACGTAGTGTTGTGAGCGAGTAGTGATTAAAACAAAAAATCTCTGGGTTTTTATGGGACAACCTAATAATCAAAATTCACACAAAGAACACTTGTGTTTTAGCGTTTTTAATCTACATTAAACCTAAAACTCTAATTTGCTTTTCCTTTTTTGCTTACTTTGAAGAAAACTTCATCGTAATTCTCCTTGACTTTCTGTACGATAAAGGCAAGAATTTTCTCATCAGAGGCTGCAAAACCGCATGCTCGGAGCTTAGAAAATCTGAAATGTTTTGAAATTTTAACAATTTCAAATTTACTCATTTCTTACCTGTACAATTTGTTGGAATGAATGGGTTTCATTGAACAAATTGTACAGGTAAGCAATTAACTTCACTCATTTCTTACCTGTACAGTTTGTTCAATGAAACCCATTCATTCCAATAATTGTCTTTTGTCGGGATTGTGATCTTCTTTTTACACAAATCTGACAGACTATCACCGGTCAAATCAATCAAATAGATCTAAAATAGCGATTTTTCTTCTTCAGCAAAGTTGAATAAGCAATTTTCAACTAGATTAAACCTTATCCAAATCCTCGGGATCATTGTACAATGAGAGAGTGTTCACGGAGAACTCGAGATCCGATCCGAACACTTCAAACGATGTATTCCAATGCGCTAAATCGATCGGCTCCAATGAGAGGTTTCTGGAAGAAAAAAAAATGATTTGATAGATGAAATTGAAAAGAAATCTAATTGAAATTTGTGAATTTGAGCTTTCAATTCTCGAATTTCCGATTCACTCACGTGTCATTCTCATCAGGAATCGCACCAATCGTCAACTTTTCACTTCCAAAATGTGGCCGTTTGCACTTTCCTCTTCAGAAAAATCAAGTTCAAATAAGAAAAAGAAAAAGAAATTACAATCCATAACGAAATTTGCAGATTCTCTTGAGCCTATGCGGGTTACAAGTAACCGTTCCATCGATGTCCATCGGGTATTCACCGATCACTGAATTCCTGTTTTTGTGTTCACTCATTTCACTTCTTTAGATTTCTTTTCGTGCTTTATATTATATTCATTAGACTCATTTCATTGTCATTTTCCCTCTAAGTATTCTTGGAAAAGCATTTGTGAAGCTGCCCAAACGTCACACTCACCCAAATCCCTCACCGCTCCTCCGTAAACAAAAAATAAACAGCGGCTCTCGTCGAGGAATTTAATCAATCCTTCCACCTAAATGAATTTGCTCATTTTGTGGATAAAAAACGAATTCGCTAACCTCTGAATACTCTATCTAGCCTGAACACCGTAATCTAGATTGAACACCGTAATCTAGCTATTCTAGACTGAAAACTCTATCTAGACTGAACACCGTAATCTAGCTATTCTAGACTGAAAACTCTATCTAGACTGAACACCGTAATCTAGCTATTCTAGACTGAATACTCTATCTAGACTGAACACCGTAATCTAGCTATTCTAGACTGAATACTCTATCTAGACTGAACACCGTAATCTAGCTATTCTAGACTGAATACTCTATCTAGACTGCATACCCTAATCCAGATTAAATGCCTAATCCAGCTATTCTAGACTGAATATCCCATTCCTAAACCCGGAAATTATCCAATTGAACACACAAACCGTTTCATTGAGCCCTTGGATCTTATGCTGTTTCACGAGATTCCAACTCTTCAACAACTTTGTCCCCGCATAGACTTTTGACCTCTTAAAATAGTGCCACGGTAGACCGAAATGACCGTAACTTTTCGGGAAATGCACACTCGATTTGTCGATCTAGAAATTTGCTTTGCTTTTACTTTTGAAAAAAGTTTACAATATTTTCAATTTGATCAAATTCGAATCCAAACCTCTTCCAATTCCCCGCATAGATTCTCTAACTCTAAAGCTTTTATGCCAAAAAGTAAAAGAAAACACAAAAATAGAAACATCGGAGAATTGTGAATGAAAGCTTTATCAACGGATTTCCCCATTTTTCCATTTCCTCAATTATATCTCTTCTTTTGGGGATAAGCCTAATTGACAGCTGAATTCTTGGATTCTTTAATTCTTTAATTCTTTAATTATTTAATTCTTTAATTCTTTAATTCTTTAATTCTTGAATTCTTTAATTCTTGAATTCTTTAATTCTTTAATTCTTGAATTCTTTAATTATTTAATTCTTGAATTCTTGAATCCTTTAATTCTTGAATTCTTGAATCCTTTAATTCTTGAATTCTTTAATTCTTGAATTCTTGAATTCTTTAATTCTTTAATTCTTGGATTCTTGAATTCTTGAATTCTTGAATTCTTTAATTCTTGAATTCTTGAATTATTTAATTCTTTAATTCTTTAATTCTTGAATTCTTTAATTCTTTAATTCTTTAATTGTTGAATTCTTGAATTCTTGAATTCTTTAATTTCCCTGTACTCATTTCTAGTCAAAAATCGTTGCAAAAAAAAGAAAGATTTCTAACATTTCAAACTACACTTGTAACATTCATTTTCCTTTTTCTGTGTCTATTATGAGTGTTTGCTTGCCTTGTCCTGTTATCGATCAGTCAAAAGTCAAAAAAAAAGAATTTGAAGTGATAAAAGAGAGAAAGGTGAAAGAAGAAAAGCCGACTATTTTTAAGCCAAATTTCCTCTGCAAAAACTTTCCAGCATTTTATTTTATTTTAAAGCATTTTATTTCATTCCAGCATTTTATTTAAAATTTCTTCTTTAATGATTTACTTTGTCTTTTCACTTTCATTTGGTTTTTGCTTGAGTTAATGAAAAAGAAATGTGTTGATGTCAATTTCCGATCATTTCTCTTTCTTTTTCCATCTCTTTGCAAAAGTACTCGAATTCTAAAATTTCCTTTTTTTAAGAAATCGTAAAACTTTTCTAATAGTTTTAAGCGCTGATTTATAATTTCTAAGTAGAATATCTTTCTTCCAGGTTATCCAGGTTGACAAACGTCTCGCCAACCATCAGAAGGCTCAATTCTCTTTCGATTTTCTTTTCTTTACCATTATTTTCTTTTACTTTTCATTATTATATAGTAAAAATGAATTCCATTCAGTGAGCAATGTCCGATTCTAACCTCGTTTTTCATTCGGGTTCTTGTCATTGTGGAGCCGTGAAATGGCAATGTGAGGGACCAAAAATCCTCAAAGCCATCACTTGCAAGTGAGTTTTATCTCAAATTTGTATTAATAAAAGATAGAAACATCTTAACATAACAAATCACCTAATTTTCGTATAAAATTTAGTTGTTCGATTTGCAAGAAAAAGCAAAATCATCATTTCATCGTCTCTAAAGAATGCTTTCGGTTACTTGAGGTGAGTAAATGTTACACTGACTTCAATGATCAATGATGATCAATCATTCAATGATCAACACTGACTTCAATGATCAATGAAGATCAATGATGATTCAATGATCAACACTGACCTCAATGATCAATGATGATCAATCATTCAATGATCAACACTGACTTCAATGGTCAATGAAGATCAATGATGATTCAATGATCAACACTGGCTTCAATGATCAGTGATGATCAATGATGATTCAATGATCAACGCTGACTTCAATGATCAATGATTTTCAGGGAAAACAATTCCTCACCACTTATCAATTCAATCAAAAACTCGCGCAGCACAGCTTTTGTCAGGTAAATGAGCATCAGATGAAAAATGTCCAGCTAAAACCTAGATTTGTGGAGTTCAAAGCTTTTACGTGCCGAGAAGCAATCCAAATGATGTGGGTGAGTTCATTAAGATCTCAAGAAAAACACTTGCCCACTTGTTAATCACTGTAGAAGGTCGAGTTAGTCTTCGGGAATCTAGAGTCATGAAAATTTGCCCAACTTTTCTATTCCAACTAGAACAAATTCCATTTAGCCATAATGCCTCACTGCATCGATTCGGACACCGTCGAGAAAATCGAATGGACAACATTTGATGGGGAAAATTGGGAGGAAACAATGAAACATCAAGCACCAAAAGCATTCTCTCTTAAACAAACGAAATAAAAATTTTGAGGAAACTTTTAAAGACGTTTATTATTTTGTGCAAGCATTTCAATGGGCGGGAAACTCAACAAAATGCTCATATACTCTACACAAAAGCCTCTTCTTTTCCTCGATATAACAAATCATGAATGGCTCGTGATTTCTTTTCAAATACAAACGATCTTTGACGGGTAAAACGGCCTCGATTCGATGATCGTGCAATTTTTCCTGGCGTTTGTTGTAATAGGAGACGTAGACGCTGAAAATTGTATCGTGAAAGTTTGACTTTAAGGTACGGTAAATGTTGAACCAAAAATTAGCAAAATTTTAGCCAAATCATTTTCTAGTTGAAATTTGAAAAGACAACAGGGTTACGGTGGCTTTCTAACAGCTTTGCGTGGTAGGATTACGGTATTTGAATAGGATTACGGTATGCCTAGATTTTGATGACTTACGGCTCTTTCGGATCTGTTGGTTCGGAGATGAAAAGATAGTAGGAAGCAGCCCATCGTCTCATCGTATAAGTGCATTGTTTTGTGGAGCAGGGAAGCTGAAAATCACTATATTAGATAACTTTTTTCACTGAGCAGCAGGGAAGGTAAAGTTTGACACCCCGGTCCTTTTTGGGGTTCGGGCTGGGAATACAAAACATTGCGCCGGGATTCGAATCCGCGATTTCTCACTTACCAAGCGAACGCTCTACCAATGAGCTACGCGGGCACGTGTCCCATTGCCATCAGGGTAGGGATTTATGCCTTACTTTTTACTTTCCCCAAATACCCACCTTTCCAACTTTGAAACAATCCTCGGCCACAAATTCCGCGGGTTTCCTTTTTGTGCTCAACGTCACTGCGCAGAGCTCCATTTTGCTCGCTTCACCCAAAAGAAGCAAACCTTTTCCGTAAATGTCAACTAGGGCATCCTGAATATCATCACAAAGTCAAAGGATTCTTTTTTAGAGTCTATTTTGTGCTTAAAAATAGGAATAAAGCCTTTCTGGAACACTCTTCTTTTTTTAGCCAACTCAGCTTGACTTGGGTGTGCCAGAAAGGGTGTGTGTCTATTTTCGAGCATAAAATACATGAAAGTCAAACCCCAATCCCAATCCCTCACCCAAAATGGAAGCTTTTTCTTGTCCAAGAATTTCTGCAATGATCCAAATGGGATCAACTTTGATCCATCGGAATTCCACTTGAACAAAACGTGATTGGGTTTTGTTGTTGAAGAGTTTTTCGTTCTCGTTTCACAGTCGTTTTCACATTTAAATAGATATAAGTGCTCAGCTAAAAATTGAAAATTTTTACGCTGATACAAATCCGGTAGCATACCTATCGAAAATGCTTTGTTCCCGAGAAAAGCCCCGACTTTTCGATCCGATTTCCCAGAAGACGAATGGAAAATTGGGCAGTTTTCTTTATTTTTCGTTTCGATGAACTCACAATCGATCTCCGGTTGCTGAAGTTTGATTTAATTTTGATTTAGAGATTATGTTAAGTCAATCTATATAGTCTTCAGACGCCAAGGCATACCTTAGAGATCAGATTGATGTGGGTTAGACCAGCACCTGGCCTAACTCACAAAAACTATAAAAGCTGGGTCCGCTCAAACCCCGGTCAGGTTCTGGCTCCACCTGGCTTAACTTAAAAGCTCTAAAACCCGGTTGGAACAACCCTAAATAAAACTAAAGATGTCCAGTTTGGAGATCAGAATACCGGCATACTGTAACGAAGAAAGGATATTCAAATGATATTTGAGAATATCTTTAAGGTGTAACATTTAAAGTATTCACCTTGCTTGCTTCCCAATTACCAAACAGTGACGGTAATGAGGAATTCACAGCCTGAAAAATGTTCTCAAATTCTCAAATCATTTTGCTGTTTGAACTCACAATTGTCATGACTTTCATCTCGTTTAGAGAACCATTCTTCGCCATTAACATAATTCCTTTCTTTGTTTCTTTTAAATAGAAATTGTCAGCGTTGGTCGGCAGAGGGAGAGTTTTGTTTGTGCAGCTGATAGTCTAAAGCTTTAGATGAATTCTAAGGGCCATTTGGATTCAAGTTTGAGGCAAAACTTGTACCTCTTTTGGTTGAAAGATCGCAAGACAACCACGATTACGACATCCGTAAAGCAATCCTATCACTAAACCAGTGAACAACAGCAGTAAGAGCATTGAATAGAGTGTCCAATGGGAGGAACGAGGGGGTATCTAAAAAAAAGCTTATCAACTTTCTAAATTCACATACGAATTTGCCTACTTACAATTAGTGAAGATATCTTAAGAACAGTTAAACTTGAATAATTTGTATCAGATTTGCCCGAAAGTCTTGTCCGCTTTTAAAGGTTACTTTTTGAAATGAATAATGAACCCATCGATCTATGGGTTTTCTTTTATCAGAAATTTCTGTTATTTATTTACAAATTTCTCTTTAAGAAATTCTTGAAAGCTCGCGTTAGTTAATATTTTTTAAAGCTGTGAAAACGATGAAACTCAAGAGTTTCGATTTGAGCACTTTTTGTCACAGAAATCTATTTTGGTGTCAAAAGACAAAAGATAGAGAATGAAAAGTTAGGCAGATAGACAAATTTTCAGAAAATGTCCATTGTAAGGATTTTGGGATGAATGAATTCCTGTTCGGATTTACTTTCAAAACGGACTCAAATTTGCTTAAAAATCAGCTAAATGAAATAGTTAATCTTTATTTAAAGCAATTTAAAGCAAACCACACGTTTCTCGGCTAATTATTCATTTATAAACAAAAATTTCAAAAAAGGCGGACAAAAGTTTCCGGCCAAACAAATATAACGAAAAGGCACAGAATCCGGTTCTGGGACATCCTCGTCATAGAATTCCCTCAATTTCCCCTCATCAATTTCACCATTCAACCACATGCGAAATGGACGATCGAGTTGATTGATAAACGTTTCTATTGTGACCTAAAAATTCATTAATAAAAGCCTTACTTTGTGCTCCAAAGCTCAAACAAATCTTCTCTGGTGTAGGAAGAGAATAAAGAGTTGAGAAGATTTGTTTGCATTTACTCACAAAATACATTCCAAATCTCAACTCAAGCTACGGTAGCTTTTTCCAAAATACATATTTTAGAAAGCAGCAATGTCAACCTCATTTCTTCTATCACTTACTCTAGGCGCTGGATGAGCGCATGAGGTGTGTTCCATTGGTGGAGCCACAGACACCAACCGTGTTCCATTGTTGGCTTCTCCTTACGCACTGACTCCAACATCTCAATCAATCCATCGAGAGTGATGTCGTTCAGATAACTGAATTTGTGATGAGCGCATCATTGAATGAAGAAATAACTTTCGAATACTGAACACAGTTGCGTCGTATCCAATCAAATAGAATCGGGAATCAAATAGAAATTTTTTGCACCAGCATTTCTTCGCTGCCAAATCATGACGCTCGTTATAAGGGTTTGCGCGCTTTCGAGATCCTGAATGCTTTCTAATGATTAGAGTTTTTAAGCAGAAAGAATTTTTCTTACAATTCAAACAAAGCACTGCGCAAAATTTCTAGCTCACTTTTTCGAATGCGTATTTCGCTTTGCCTAATGGTGCACCTTGTGGTAAACTCCGATCGGGCATCAGGTAATCATTTGCGGATGCATTTTCGGAGACAAGCGAGTAAACGATCGATGGAGAGAGGTTTACTGAAAACATTATCTCACAGAATTAATTCCGTTAATTCAAAATTTCACAATCTGTTTATTCAATTCACAGAGCGGTCAGCCTGAAAGTACCCGGTCAGGATGTTAGGCTCTGATACTTTCTAGCCTAGGCCAGCCCAAAAGCCTGATCCAGGTCTGACTCTGGCCTGGCCTCGGGCAGAGATTTGCCCTGACTTATCCTGCCAAATTTTGAGAACAACCCTGGTACTGATCTTAGCTCGAACCTTATTGGCTCCTTAAAACTCCTGTTTACGAGTGACAAAAAAAAAGTACCAAACCACAAGTCTTACTTGATTTGACCATGACACCAGAATAATTATTCTTGAACAGATGGCCGTCTTATTGTTGAAAGGAATGAAAATTCTGATGTCACTAATTAAAGAAATCAATTTCTCAATAAAGAAGCGAAAATTTGTTGACGCATTTTTGGCCAGGAAATTTCTTCTAAATATTAGCTTCAAAAAAGTGGGGAAATATTTTCGCAAAAGGGGGAAGTGATAAAATTTTAGTCAGATGGGGATGGGGAATCGATAAGGACCGACTCTTACCGATCTTGTTTCCTTAGTCAGGGGAAAGTGGCTGTTAGAATGAGATTTTGTTAGTCTTTGTTGGAATAGCCGTGTGCTATTTTAACAAAAGTTATTTTAATCCGTTGGTCCAGTTGGATGACAGGTTAACTTTGCAGATCGTACTGTACTGGCTTTAATTCTGTTGATTATGGTCTTGAAATTTCTCTGGCTTGTCTTTGTTGGAATAGCTGTGTACGGTGTAATTTAGCATTGGAAAATAAAAGTAATCAGTTATTTTAATCTGTTGAAGATTTGTCCAGTTGTATGACCGGCACTGTACTGGCTTTAATTCTGTTGATTATTGCCTTGAAATTTCTCTGGCTTCAAGATATTCAGGTAACAAAACGAAACGCTCACCAGGATTGCGAAGCTGTTATATATAAAGCAGAAGAGACGTCTGTCTGCCTGTCTGTCTGGCTGTCCGTCCGTCTGTATGTCTGTCTGTCTGTCTATCCGTCTGTCTGTCTGTCTGTCTGTGCGCAAACACGACGCCCCAAATTCCGGGGGCGTAATATAGCGGTGCCATCAGCAAGCAAGGGGCGAGGCTTAGCCCTCGGCCGACGAGATTTGCTTGCTCGAATCCGTCAACTTGAAAATCAAATTGCTCGCGAGAAGGTAAATTTTTTGCAAAGCTTATAAATTTTAATGATTTTTGCTGTTGTACTTCGTTTTCTTAGCTAGCTTATGGAGCCGAACAGGTCGGACGCTAGTTTTTAACTTTTAGAGACATTTATTATTTTGTGCAAGATTTCAATAAATGGTGAGCGCAAAAAAACTATAAGGGAAACTCAACAAAATGCTCATATACTCTACACAAAAGACTCTTCTTTTCCTCGATATAACAAATCATGAATGGCTCGTGATCTCTTTTCAAATACAAACGATCTTTGACGGGTAAAACGGTCTCGATTCGCTGATCGTACAATTTTTCCTGGCGTTTGTTGTAATAGGAGACGTAGACGCTGAAAATTGTATCGTGAAAGTTTGACTTTAAGGTACGGTAAGTATTTTTCAAGCGCATCTTTTAAAAAACGCATACCGTATTTTCTCTAATAGTAGTGCACCCCGGCGAGCCGAGTTGGTGACTATTTTACGGTTTCCAAGCTTTTGCAGAAGCTCAACACTCTAATCCCCCACTAGATCTCATCGTCAGCTACATTTTCCAACCCCACATCGATAGGTTCTAATAAGCGGTTTTCGGGATTTCGAGCAATTTAGGAAACGCTCAGGGTGCACTACTATTAGAGAGGAGACGGTATATTATTCCAGGTTAGGCTAGTAGATCAGACTGATCTATTTCCCTAATATTTCCCGGTGAGCCGAGTTGATCACTGTTTTACAGTTTCCAAGTTTTCCCAGAAGCTCAACTCTCTAATCCCCCACAAGATCTCATTGTCAGCTACATTTTCCGACCCCACATCGATAGGTTCTGATAAGCGGTTTTCGGGATTTCGAGGAATTTAGGCAAAGCTTAGGGTGCACGACTATTAGAGAAAATCGGGTATATCTAAAGAGTTTTGGTCTTACGGTATTTGGTTTGAATTTGATGCTTTCTGCTTAGCTTGATGCTTAAATTTTGATGACTTACGGCTCTTTCGGATCTGTCGGTTCGGAGATGAAAAGATAGTAGGAAGCAGCCCATCGTCTCATCGTATAAGTGCATTGTTTTGTGGAGCAGGGAAGCTGAAAATCGGTATATTGCAAGGTGGCCCATAATTGGTGCAGTGGCTTATCTATTATTAACTATCTCGATTTCTTCAAAGCTGAAATTTTGGACTGGGCATAAAAGCATTTCAAAAATCAAATTTAGACATTACAAAAGGCGGGGCTCCGGTCCACAAAGCCTGGAAGGTTCAAGATTTTTGCAAAGTGAATTTCTTTTCCCGATTTCTTCTCTTTTTCTGAATGGTCATTTTTCTGAATGGTCATTTCTGAATTCAGCTCGCCGGATCTCAATCCGATGGATTATTCTCTCTGATACGTACTTGAGACAAAAACCTCCTCAAAACCGCATAAAAATGTTCAAAGTTTGAAGAAAAAACTTTTGAAAGCCTGGGGATGAACTCAATGACACTTACTTGGACGCCTTTCCTAAACGCTTGAAAGCGTGCTCGGCTAAAAATGGCGATCGCTTTGAATTTAATTTGTTAATTTGTTGTTCATTGATATCAAATAAAGCTTTTAAAACAAAAGTTTCCTCTATAAAGTTTAATTTGCTTTACTTACAAAGCTTTTTATCTGTACGTATAGGCCACCCTGTAGATGATAGATCACTTTTTTCACTGATGAAGCAGCGAAGCTAAGCTTACCTTTCCAATTTTGGAACAATTCTCGGCCACAAATTCAGCGGGTTTCCTTTTTGTGCTCAACGTCACTGCGCAGAGCTCCATTTTGCTCGCTTCACCCAAAAGAAGCAAACCTTTTCCGTAAATGTCAACTAGGGCATCCTGAATATCATCACAAAGTCAAAGGATTCTTTTTTAGAGTCTATTTTGTGCTTAAAAATAGGAATAAAGCCTTTCTGGAACACTCTTCTTTTTTTAGCCAACTCAGCTTGACTTGAGTGTGCCAGAAAGGGTGTGTTTCTATTTTCGAGCATAAAATACATGAAAGTCAAACCCCAATCCCAATCCCTCACCCAAAATGGAAGCTTTTTCTTGTCCAAGAATTTCTGCAATGATCCAAATGGGATCAACTTTGATCCATCGGAATTCCACTTGAACAAAACGTGATTGGGTTTTGTTGTTGAAGAGTTTTTCGTTCTCGTTTCACAGTCGTTTTCACATTTAAACAAATAGAATTGCTCAGCTAAAAATTTGAAAATTTTTGCGCTGATTCAAATCCGTTAGCATACCTTCGGAAAATGCTTTGTCTCCGACAAAAACCCCGACTTTTCGATCCGATTTCCCAGAAGACGAATTGAAAACTGCGCAGTTTTCTTTATTTTTCGTCTCGATGAACTCGCAATCGTTCTCCGGTTGCTGAAGTTTGTTTTCATTTCGATTTGGGGATTATGTTAAGTCAATCTACAGTACTGGCCAATGAAATATCATATTTGAAAAACGATCGTCACGTTCGCACGTCTGTAACTTTTTTGTCTTAGAGTTTAAACTATTAGTGTTATACATTTTCTGAAGCTCTTTTCAAGGGCTACACAATGGTAATATTAATATTTAGAAATACGGTATTTTTTGACGCATTTCAGCGCGCGCAAAAGTGACGATCGTTTTTCAAATATGATATTTCATTGTCCAGTACTGTATATAGCCTTCAGACGCCAAGTCATAACTTAGAGATCAGACTGGTGAGGGTCAGCACCTGGTTTCTGGTCAGACCTAGCACACAAAAAGTATAAAGACTGGGTCCGCTCAAAGCTCGGTCACGGTCTGGTTCTGGCTTGACCTGGCTGTCCAGAAAGTCTTTTCGTTCCTTTTCGTACTTTCGTTGGAAAATAACAAATTCACCAATTAACCTATGGTTTCCTCTAAATCAAGAGTGTTTATTGTTTCAATTTTCACCTTTTAAAGTCAATTTCAGTTCACTTTAAAGCAAATTCAAGAGTGAAAGTTTTTCTTTAAAAAAAACTATAAAAACCTTTACGAAGAAATTGGCTAAATCAATTTCTCTGAAAGTTTGACTATATACGAAACTTGAAGGTAAACTCTTTGGGATTGAGTAGTTGAATTGTATTTTGTTAGTAAATTTTTCACGATTAATAAAGAAAGATTTCACCAACCTACATCAACCTATGACTATTCTATTTTTTTTAGGTATCAATCCTGCATCAAACACTCGATCGGCTTCTGAAAACGATGGTGATGAACCGGTAGCTACTCCACAAGGAAGTACAAGAAGTATCGATGAGGAAGAAATCGAAACTTTTTGTGCTCGATCTTTTAGCTCTATCTATTGACACGAAGATAGGTTTTCTTTAGCTAAGGTGTCTAAACCGCATCATCGAGTTAGCCCTTTTTGACTACCCGACTTCATACTCTCAAGAAAATCCAGGCATTCAATATTTTTAAACCCGTTTTAATGTTATTTTGCAGAAAAATAATTGGTTTTTCTAATGAAATCAACCGTAGTTTAATTGGTGCATTTGTTGGCTTGAAACGGCAGACGAAAAGGAACAAAAACACTTATGCATCAACCTATTAAAAGCAACTCTTCATCTTTCAAATTTCAAATATTAGGGTGGTGCAAAAGAAACTGCCGATTTGACGGTAAATTAAAAGAAAAAGATGGCGTTCGATGGTGACATGATGACAATGGAATATTTTCCCCTTTTTGACTATCCGACTCCACGCTCCCAAAAAAAAAAAATCCAAAAATAAGACATTTTAAACCCGTTTTAATGTTATTTTGCAGAAACCTAATTGGCCTTCCTAATGAAACAAACCGTCGTTCAATTGGTGCATTTGTTGGTTTTAAACGGAATTACGAAAAGAAACGAAAATAATTTCTGGACAGCCCTAAGGCCCGGTTGGACAATATATGACAATATCTTTAAGCTGTAACATTTAAAGTTTTCACCTTGCTTGCTTTCCAATCACCAAGCGGGGACAGTGATGAGGAATTCACAGCCTGAAAAATGTTCTCAAATTCTCAAATCATTTTGCTGTTTGAACTCACAATTGTCATGACTTTCATCTCGTTTAGAGAACCATTCTTCGCCATTAACATAATTCCTTTCTTTGTTTCGTTTAAATAGAAATTGTCAGCGTTGATCAGCAGAGGGAGAGTTTTGTTTGTGTAGCTGATAGTCTAAAGTTTTAGATGAATTCTATGGATGTGAATTCTATGGATGAACTCTAAGGGCCAGATGGATTCAAGTTCGAGGCAAAACTTGTACCTCTTTTGGTTGAAAGATCGCGAGACAACCACTATTACGACATCCGTAAAGCAATCCTATAGCTAAACCAGTGAACAACAGCAGTAAAAGCAGTGAATAGAGTGTCCAATGGGAGGAACGAGGGGGTATCTAAAAAAAAGCTTATCAACTTTCTAAATTCACATACGAATTTGCCTACTTACAATTAGTGCAGATATCTTAAGAACAGTTAAAATTGAATAATTTGTATCAGATTTGCCCGAAAGTCTTGTCCGCTTTTTTAAAGGTGTCAGCTCCGAGCCAAACTGATATTTTAATTACTATTGTTATTATTGAATGATTTGTCTATTCTTATGCAAATGTGTCCTCCCCTGTGCTTATCCCTTTTATTGCCGAGAAGGGGCCTAGGAGGACAAATGAGACTCTCATTTGGAGTCCCCCCTTCCCCTTACACTTATTTGTAATCTATTCGTCTTATTAAACTACTGTAAATAAAGATACATATCTTCCGGATCTATGCAACTGCAGTACAGGTCGGTCATTTCACAGGGACTCCCCTCTAATACGTTGGAGGAGTTGAGTTGGGTTGTCGGGGTGTTAGAGATGGCGGGATATCAAAACGGATCCACTCTCTTTAACTTAACCCAAATTCTAGTCCACATCTGTTTATACCTAGGAACGAATAAAGGTTACTTTTTGAAATGAATAATGAACCAATCGATCTATGGGTTTTTATCAGAAATTCCTATTATTTATTTACAAATTTCCCTTTAAGAAATTCTTAAAAGCTCGCGTTATTTAATATTTTTTAAAGCTGTGAAAACGATGAAACTCAAGCGTTTCGATTTGAGCACCTTTTGTCACAGAAGTCTATTTTGGTATCAAAAGACAAAAGACATCGCAAGACAACCACTATTCCAATGGGTCTAAAAATGTAAATGTAAAAAAACACGAGATGTCTAAAAAAAGCTAATCTACTATATATAAAAGAGAAGTGTCCGTCCATCTGTCCGTCACACTCTGGATCTCGGCTCCCCGTGAGCCGATTTCGACAAACTTTTTTTGATCGATAGGGAATTAAAAATGAATAGGTACATACTTTTTGGTCAAAATAAGTTTTTTTTAGAAAAACTACTTAGCCACCACCCTTTTTGCCTTGGGGGTCTGTGGGAGGGAGGGTGTGGCATGGAAAGGTGGTTAGTGTCCGTCTACAAAACGACTGCCCTAAGGGGGTGTCGGGTTCGCTTCCCGTCTGTTCCAAGCTTTTTTGCTTTAAATGTTTTCAAACATGCAGTTGAAGTATGCTGTGAGTAAAAACAAAAGTTGATTCAAGTTGAGTGGTCTTGAGCTTTGAGCTTTGAGAAATACTTTTTTGGTTAAGAGGTTGACTCCTTTACGGTCTCATTTTGAGTTCCTTTTTCTGTGCTGACATTATAGTGAAGTACAGTAGATCCTTTTTCTGTGCTGACATTATAGTGAAGTACAGTAGATCCTTTTTCTGTGCTGACATTATAGTGAAGTACAGTAGATCCTTTTTCTGTGCTGACATCATAGTGAAGTACAGTAGATCCTTTTTCTGTGCTGACATTATAGTGAAGTACAGTAGATCCTTTTTCTGTGCTGACATTATAGTGAAGTACAGTAGATCCTTTTCTGTGCTGACATCATAGTGAAGTACACTATAGATACTTAAGGCTAAAAACTAGGGACAACCTTAAAAACACTCTTATCGTGATTAGCGCTATCGATTACCCTAGGAAAATTGAAAAAGGCTCTCCCAACCACCAATGTACCAATTTTTGATTTATTTAGTCCCCCTTACCTGCTTTTTTTGATTGGCTGATTTTGGAAGATTGAAAAATAGAAGCACATGTGCTTCTATTAGAATAAATACGATATGCAAAGCTCGGCGCGACTAACGACAAGACCGCTCCTCCGAGATCCCTGTACCAATCAATACCTTCGCTGCGAGGCAACTCAAATTTGCATACTTCAACTGCATATTTCAAAATATTTAACGCAAAAAAAAGTTTGGAACGGACGGGAATCGAACCTGACACCCCCGTAGGGCAGTCATTTTGTAGACGGGACGCTAATCACCTCGGTCACGCCCTCCCAGTACGGGTGCTTTGGGGTATCAGGGTTGGTCCCGATATTGCTTTGAAGGATTAAGAAATAGATCCCAGTATTGTTGCAGGGGTCTCAGAGGAGGCGCAGAAGAAGAGGGGAAGCTGTCATCTAACTCGAGAGATCAAATTATACGTTGCCTCCAAAACACCCAGCCAGAAAATTCCGTCGTTAGGCGGGTTTTTCGGCTGGTCAATTTTATAAATTTGCATACGAATTGGTATACTCAGTGCAGATATCTTAAGAAAAGCTAAACTTGACTAGTTTAATGTAAAACGAACAGATGAAGAATCGGGTTCTGGGACATCCTCGTCATAGGATTCCCTCAATTTCCCCTCATCAATTTCGCCATTCAACCACATGCGAAATGGACGATCGAGTTGATTGATAAACGTTTCTATTGTGACCTAAAAATTCATTAATAAAAGCCTTACTTTGTGCTCAAAAGCTTAAACAAATCTTCTCTGGTGTAGGGAGGAAATAAAGAGTTGAGAAGATTTGTTTGCATTTACTCACAAAATACATTCCAAAGCTCAACTCAAGCTACGATAGCTTTTTCCAAAATACATATTTTAGAAAGCAGCAATGTCAACCCCATTTCTTTTATCACTTACTCTAGGCGCTGGATGAGCTGATGAGATGCGTTCCCTTGGTGGAGCCACATACACCAACGGTGTATCAACGTTGACTTCTCCTTTACGCACTGACTCCAATATCTCAATCAATCCATCGAGAGTGATGTCGTTCAGATAACTGAATTTGTGATGAGCGCATCAATGAATAAAGAAATAACTTTCGAATACTGAGCACAGTTGCGTCGTATCCAAGGAGATCCGGATTGGGAATCAAATAGAAATTTTTTGCATCAACATTTCTTTGCTTCCAAATTTCGACGCTCGTTCTAAGGGTTTGCGCGCTTTCGAGATCCTGAATGCTTTCTAATGATTAGAGTTTTTAAAGCTTTTATATTTATAAGTTTATATGGTATTATGAGGTATCATAGTTTTTAAGCATAAAGACTTTTTCTTACAATCTTCAAACTAAGCACTCGGTAAAACATTAGATTTAGGGACCATTCAAAATTTCTAGCTCACTTGTTCGAATGAGTATTTCGCTCCACCTAACGGTGCGCTTTGCGGTAAACTCCGATCGGGCATCAGGTAATCATTTGCGGATGCATTTTCGGAGACAAACGAGTAAACGGTTGATGGAGAGAGGTTTACTGAAAACATTATCTCACAGAATTAATTCCGTTAATTCAAAATTTCACAATCTGTTTATTCAATTCACAGAGCGGTCAGCCTGAAAGTACCCGGTCAGGATGTCAGGTTCAAATACTTTCTGGCCTAGACCAGCTCAAAAGCCTGATCCAGGTCTGACTCTGGCCTGGCCTCGGGCAGAGATTTGCCCTGACTTATCCTGCCAAATTTTGAGAACAACCCTGGTACTGACTTTAGCTCGAACCTTATTGGCTCCTTAAAATTCCTGTTTACGAGTTACAACAAAAAAGTAGCAAACCAAAAGTCTTACTTGATCTGATCATGACACCAGAATAATTATTCTTGAACAGATGACCGTCTTATTGTTGAAAGGAATGAAAATTCTGATGTCACTAATTAAAGAAATCAATTTCTCAATAAAGAAGCGAAAATTTGTTGACGTATTTTTGGCCAGAAAATTTCTTCTAAGTGGGGAAATATTTTCGCAAAAGGGGAAAAGTGAGGGCAAAGTGATAAAATTTTAGTCAAAAGGAGATGGGGAATCGATAAGAATCGCCTCTTACATGGGTAAAAGATTTCGAAAAGAAAGGAGAAAGGAATTGTTGGCTTTAGTAAGGGAAAAGTGGCTGTTAGAATGAGATTTTGTTAGTCTTTGTTGGAATGGCTGTGTGATATTTTAACAAAAGTAATTAGTTATTTGAATCTGTTGAAGATTTGTCCAATTGTATGATCGAACTTCGCAGATCGTACTGTACTGACTTTGAGTTTGTTGATTATCGCCTTGAAAATTCTCTGGCTCCAAGATATTCAAGTAACAAAACGGAACGCACACTAGGATTGCGAAGCTGTTATATATAAAATAGAAGAGACGTCTGTCTGTCTGTCCGTCTGTCTGTCTGTCCGTCTGTCTTATATTCAAGTAACAAATCGGAAAGAGTGTTGTGAATTTGGTTATGGTATTACAAAGTCATTCTATGAAACCCAGTCTTTGAAAAAAAGCGGAATGTGTAAAGAAAAATTACTGTATAAAGTGATTGACGAGGTGTTCTTTGTGCTAATAGTTAGGCTTTCATGATTTGCGATTTTTTTTATTAAAAGAGCAAACGGCTGCACCGGTTTGACTGGTTTTGGAATTGGCTTTGAATTTGGTTCGGAAACCGCGTTTATTTTCAACAGAAAGCTGAAAAGTGCTTCTTCTGAAAATGATTTCTAATTGGCTTTCACTTAAACTTTAAGTCCTTACTGAAATCAGTTGTCCTTACTGAAATTGAGTTGAAAACTTTGTGACATTCACGATGTTCCACTTTCTATTCTCACTTTTGGAACACCCGAATTCAATCAAAGACTTCTTTTTAATAAAAGTTCAATATTTCACCAGTTTTCTTTGGCTTCAATTATTTTTGATGGTCCGGCTTCTTATTTGAGCGCTAAATTGAATGTGAATGTGCTAGTTGTGATGGAGGAAAATGGATGAATCATTCGTTGAATCACATTCAATGTATTCTTTCACCCTAGAACATTCTCCCAGAAGTTTTTCTTAAAGAAATTTTTTGCCGTTTCATTTTCAGTTAATTAAACCCAGTCTGAAAGCCCTACAAGTCGAGCATTTCATAAATAATATTCAGTTCGCGCTGAATAATGACCGCAAGATGGCTAGAATTTTGCAATAACTTACCAATAAACTATATAATATCTTCAATTCTGCTATAAATAAGTCTTAAACTGTGCGGTAGTAAACTCAATTCTTATACTCATTTTATCTTTCACAAATTTCTGTCTCTACCTCATCCAAAATTAATGCTGTAACGAATGTTCCCCGTGCTAAAGTGTGATAAAATCTTGCGATCAAAAAATGTTTGAAAACGCCGAGCACATGTAAAAAAATCGCTTTTTTCGAATAGATCGACTAGTGAAAAGGACTGTCTAGGTGGAAGAGATCAAGCGTGAAATTGAAGGGGAAGGCCTCGAAGGGAGGAAGAGATCAGTCTTTCATTGAAAAAGGGAATTGAAAGGATCAGATCGTGTTGCGATTCGGGGAATTTCGCCTTTTTGAGAGTTTTAAGTCAGCTTTTGTTACGGTAGGGTAAAGGAGGGATGGAGCTACTGAAATTTCAATCTTTGAGAAGTCTGGGATTTACGATAATTTCGATCTTAGTTTTGACTTTTCCAACAGTTTTGCGTTTTTACTTTGTGGAAAATAAAGCCTAGATTCATCATTTTAGTGGAAAATAGGTCTAGCTTCATCGTCAAATAGGTCTAGCTTCTCTAGCTTCTCTAGCTTCATCGTTCTAAACTCATTGCATTCTAAAAATCCATCTTTGGTGGCTAGAAAGCGAGCGTTTTATGACCAAAACCAAAAACAAAACTCTTAACAAATAAATTTGGAACCTGTCCAACGAATTTGCCCATGTTCGGTATCTAATTTTTTTAAATTAGGAGAGATACACCCCTTTAGTCGTTTTTGCTCTTTCGATACACGTGGATAATTTGGCGCGTGACGATTTACGAGTAGACAAATTTCCAAAGAAAAAAATAAAAATGATTGAAAGACTAAAAAAAGGACTAAAGAAATAAAGGGAAATATCTCATTGCCATTATTACACGAAAATTTTAACATTTGGCGGAAGAACGGGGTGGCGTGAGTGGATTCGGCGGATTTTTTGACTGCCGATAGGTTTCCCTTGTCTCGACTGATTGCAAGACTATTCATTAGGATCATAATCAACCAAGCAAACCTTAAAGAATCTAACGACTGCTTAGTTTTTCTTGATAGCTTTTCTTGATAGCTTTTCTTGGTAGCTTTTCTTTTAAAGACTACAAAGTACTTGTTTTTGTATTTGTATTTGTATTTGTTTGTTTTTGTTTGTTTTGTAGTTTGTTCAATTCTTATTCTTAACAATTAGTATTGCTTATTGTTGGTCAATAATCAATAATAAATAATTATATCCTCTTTATCACCTGAGGAATCTCGAAGTTTGTTCTCCTTTTCTACTTGTTCTTCTCTTCTTCGTCTTTGTTCTTCCTTTTCAACTAAGGAATCCCCAAGTTTGTTTTTCTTTTCTACTTTTTTTTTGAGGGCATTGCTCTTCGTGTGTTGATTTTTTTTTTGTTTGTGAGATGGTGGTCATTTTGACGGGGTCGTAAAACCCAAAGAATTGAATTGAAAGGGGTTTATTGGAAAAAAAATGGGGATATAGACAGAGAGACAGTGGAATCTTCCTCGTTTTTGCTGTGCATTGTAGATGGGCTAATATTGGATGGAGAAAGCCATATGAAACTAAAGATTGATGAAACTAGAGTTCCTAGAACTAGAGTTCCTAGAACTAGAGTTCCTAGAACTAGAGTTCCTAGAACTAGAGTTCCTAGAACTAGAGTTCCTAGAACTAGAGTTCCTAGAACTAGAGTTCCTAGAACTAGAGTTCCTAGAACTAGAGTTCCTAGAACTAGAGTTCCTAGAACTAGAGTGTGTTCCTTTGTGTTTTCTAAAATGTGCCAACTTGTCTCTAGTTTTATCCATTTAGTTACCCTTTTTTTCCTATTCTGTAAAGGTTCACAGAAGATAAAGTCGACAAAAACTAGAGACAAGATTATTTTTGCAGTTATAGGTTCTGTTTTGGTTTTAAAGTTTAAAGTTATAAGTGTTAATAGTTTTAGAAAACGCAATACTTACACTAGTTGCAACAGTTGGATTATGATAGGTTTTTCTAGAGACATCTTGGGAATTCTTGCCACAAATGATCTAAATGGTTTCAATTTCTGAATGGTCTGAAATTTTGGTACCCATTAATCATTTTGGCACATCACTCCACCTTAATATACACTCCAGAAATCAAAAAATTCCCCAAAAAAAACCATACTCATTGACACACAGACATCTGAGTATTTCACCATTTCAAAATGCTCAACCCGATCACGCCATTCAGAAAGATGGTGATCATCGAAGAAGAGAAGAAAAGAGATCGCTTTGATGATTCATCTCCCACAGTCCCCCCCCTTTCCCTCAATTTGCACATCAACGCACGCAAAAGTAGCTGTTTTGTTTTCTTTTGACGCTTTGGCCCTGAGAATTTGTTTCTAGAAGTCAAAACATGTTGAAACAATGACTTAGTGAACCATTTTATAAATTTTACATTTTATAAATTTTTAGCCCACCCCCATAATGACGGTGCGGAGTGTTGCGTAGTCTAGC